CATTGGCTTTTTTCCCGCTATATCCCAATGTCTTAAGGCTGTTAACTGCTATCTTTCCTTTCCATTTAAACACCATGTTTCTCGTTGCAGGAGTCTTCTTCAACAACATCATTTTTGTTTTTACTGCATTGGCCTTATTCAATTTGACTTTACACATACATAAAAACGCAGAAATGGCATATAATTCAACTGTCCTGTTTTGTTTCAATCCTGCTAGTGTTTTCTTCTCAGCCCCCTATTCAGAATCACTGTTTGCATTTACAACGTTTTATGGTATGTATCATAATGCACGTGAAAGTATTTGGAAGTCATCGTTATTTTTCGGTTTCTCTGTGTTGAACAGGTCCAACGGACTACTCAATGTTGGCTTCTTATTATATGCTATAGTTGAATCGGTAGTCAAGAAAAGAAAAATATCATTCAAATGCCTTATTGGTGTATTTTTTGTTTTTGCATGTTTCAGTGTGTTCCAAGTGTATGGATATTATAAATTCTGCACTCTGCAAGAACACACATTGGATCCCAAAGTTATCGACTATGCTATTACAAATAACTTAATAACACCAAGCAACATAAGTGTGCCAATATGGTGCGGTGAGCGCTTACCATACTCTTATGTTCAAGAAAAATATTGGAAAAATATGGGTTTCTTAAGTTATTTCAAATTCAAACAGATTCCAAATTTTCTATTGGCTTTACCATGTGTTTTTTTACTGTTAAAGTTTGGTTTTGAATATTTTTGTTATAATAGTATAATTTATTTGGGCCTTAGAAATCAAGATGAACCAGATTTTGTGTATGTTGTCCATTCTACATTTTTAACCATTTTTTGTTTGTTTTGTATACATGTTCAAGTGACTACTAGAATGTTAGCGTCTTCAAGTCCAGTGTTATATTGGGCTTGTGCGAAGTATTACAAGTTTCCACTAGATTTCAATAAAATTACTTACAACCGTATAACTTATGATTTTAAATCAAAATTCGTGGCATTGTACTTTTTAACATATTTTATTGTCGGAACAGCTCTTTTTGTAAACTTTTTACCATTTACTTAGCAGACAAATATTGAAAAAAAATAACAAAGAAAAACACATAAATTAATTTAACCATTAACTGTCATTTATAGGTATTATTTTTATAAAATAAAATACATGTTATATAACTAAAAATTGCAAACTGTAATATTATTTAAATTGTACAAATATTGGTCATTTTATTTTATATGTTCTATTTGAAAAAAAACAGTTGTAACCAGTGTTAATTAATATAGATACATTTTAAAGTTTTTTTTTGTTAAAACTCAAATTATAGTATTTTAGTGAGTACTAAACAATTTTTTTTTATATTCTGTATTGTTATTTGATTTTGAAATTTCTATTTATCATATTTTTCATTTGTTCAATGTCTTGATGTACATTTTATATTTACAATGAAAAAATAAAGACTTAAATTAAGACTGATATTTAATAATATTAAATATTAATTAAGAATTCATAATTTCATAAAACATTCTGAAAAAGTATTTGTGATTGTTAGATTATAATTCATAATCTCAATATATTATTAGTATAAATTTGGTAACTATTTTTTCAGCTAAAATAATAAGATTCTAAATATATTGCACTTGCTGAGGTACCTATCTGATATATTGATAAAATATGCACAAATTAAAAATTTTAATTCCACTTGAAAGATTCAATTTTAGTTGGTTTTGTTAAAAATGATTAAATATAGTCAAACTTAGCTGATGAGTTAATTTTTTTTTTATTGAAAAATAAACATAATTTAGACTATTTGGAGCAAAATTAACCCATGATGAAATTATGTCTTAGTTCACGGCACGATTTAAGATATATATCTTAAACCACAGAATAATTCTGTGCTTAAACCGTGGTGATAAGCACAAATGGCCTATCCATTCTTATTATCTATACCATTATATCTATCATGATAAGAACTTCCTGATTAAAAAATATATTATACATTTTATGCATAAAGCCCCTAAAATTACGTCGTTAGTCGTTACGACTTCAAGATACTACTAAACTACCTGAGTGTCTTACTATTATCTAACTTAATGACCTCTGGTCGTACAAACTACAAATCGAATCATTATCAACTGTTAAAGCCGGACAAACTACAAATTTTATTTCATAATGATATCTGTAAGATTTAATAAATTACTCAGAAATTGTAGTTCGCTGTAAAAGAAAAACCAAATCCATCATTCTTCGACAGAGGTATACTATGATAAATAAATGTATAATATTCAAGTGTGTGTACCCCCATTTTTCCTTCAATTCTTCAGTTCTTTAAAATTTTATTTTTTGAACTAAAAAATTTACTTCAAAACATATTTTCAAATACTTGGGATTTTTTGTACTTCTTAAAGAGTGTTTTGTGGAGATATAAACTTCTGTTTTTCAAATGAGGTCAATGAGTACCCCCCCCCCTCCATTTCAACTGTTAATTATTTAGTGGATAATTGTTCTGAAAATTGTGACTTATAAGAATCAAAATTTTACATGTAGTTTTCAGTTATTTCCCCTTGTTTTTTAAGTATAAAATGGTTATTGATGTATTGGTGCCAAACAATGTGCAAACATTTCCGTTTCCTTGTAGTGATGCACAAGGAAAAACATGGTGGCTATAGTGATTTGAAAATTGTATTCATTAATCCATCAACATAAATAATTTGTAATACTGGACCAAGTATTATAATAAATACTAGGTAGCTCCAATTTTGTATCTATTTTAAATTTTTGTAAAACCATTTTTGAGGACTATTATTCTTAGAACAAACATTTAAATGATTAAGAAACTAGCTACTCATTCAAATTCCAATTTTTTTTAATTGTTTAAACATCTAAGCTTTGCTAACATTGCATCAAAATATTTGATTCTTTTTTAAATTAGTTGTAAGCTAAGCAGAATATGTACCTACCTATAGCCTGAAAATCAAAATGATATTTAATAGTAATTATTTGAATACCAACTATACTTTTAACTTGGATAATCTCAAATCAATTGAATAGCTTATTAATAAAATTATATTACATATTGTATAAAGTTAAATCACATTTTTTTTTTACAGAAGCAAACCAAAATCAAAGTTAATAATATTGAAATTAATTATTTAAAAGTTGGAAATGGTCCACAGACCTTGTTGTTATTGCCAGGAGCATTAGGTACCTTCGTCATACTAAGTATTTTAGTATTAATTTTTATAAGAATAATGATATTTAACATCACGCATATAGCTACATAATAAACTATGAATATTATTTAGGTTCAATATTTACTGATTTTAAGCCACAAATTGAAACTTTTAATCGTGAAAAATATACAATAGTTGCATGGGATCCACCAGGTTATGGTTTAAGTCGACCACCTGACAGAGATTTTTCACCAGGATTTTTTTATCGTGACGCTGACTATGCCATTTCACTTATGAAAGTATTTACTTTTTTCAACTTGCGTTCTCAATGTATTTCTAATCTCAATGTTGGTCTTCTTAGTCACTGCAAATTGATAAATATTCACTACTGGGTTGGAGCGATGGTGGGATCACTGCACTTATAATGGCATCAAAAGTTGTTGACAAAGTGGAAAAACTCATAGTTTGGGGTAGCAATGCGTATGTTACTGAAAAAGATATTGAATTATATGAGAAAATACGAGATGTCCAAAAATGGTCTCCACGCATGAGGCAACCGTTTATTGACCTTTATGGCGAAAAGTATTTTTCAGATACTTGGAATGCTTGGGTAGATTCATTTCAAATGATACTGAAAGAAAACGGAGGGGACATTTGTCAAGAAGCACTGTCTAAAATCAATGCACCTACTCTCATTTTACATGGGGCTCAAGACCCAATAGTGCCTATGGAGCATCCAGTTAATTTACACAAAAAAATTAAATATGGATCGTAAGTTATTATACACTGAATATTAACTTTGAGAAAACTACTTCACAATTATATCTTAGGAAATTATAAAAGCATAATGGTTTCAATTCAGTAAAGGAGTACAACAAAAAAACATAGTGAATGATTCATTTGTACATTTTATTGAATTTTTGTATGATTTTAAATAATTATGTTAATACTATTAAAAGAGTACCTAAGAAGTAGTGGCAATTTAATTTAACAGAATAAAAAATGCAAGCAATTTTAAAATTTAATATGCACGGTCAATTAAAGTAAATTACTATAAAGTATTTTAATTAGACATATCATAAAACGATGATTGATTGTTCCTAATCTATCTAATTTCATTAATATTTTGAGATAAAAATAGTATTTTATTTATGTACAATTTATATTTTATACACACTTATAGATGTATGGCCTCCCCCCGAAATGATATTGTTTTCATTCGTGTGTTGCAGGCTTGAAATTTATCCGGAAGGTAAACACAATATTCATCTAAGGTATGCCGAACTGTTCAATTCAGCGGTAGACGATTTCCTGGCCGAAGACTTGTAAGAGATCAAAACTTGTCGAAATAATAATAAACTTAGTTAAAAAAAAAATAATAGTACCAATTAAAATCATAGCAGAGGGGTGCTAGTCTGTATAGATGCAAACGCAGTTTTAAATCTTAAGGAGGCAAAAATATGACCGAACCAACATCGTGGACCACGCGACCGAAATCTCTTGAAAAATTGACGTTGCTTGACAAGGTGTGGCGTTACAAGGGCGAGGGAAACGCTAACGTGGTTTTGTCTGTGCCCGTCGACGGAACAGTGGTGCGGGTGATGAAAGAGGGTGATGGCGGCAGTGAAAGTGCGGCGGCGGCAGCCGAAACACTATCCTTACGGTTGCGCTTTTGCGACACCGTCAGACGTACATTCTTCGGCGGCGGTGGCCGCCACGTAGACGTGCCAGTACCGATGCGCATGTCTGCCGAAGAGTTGCGTGAAATCGATCGGCTCATCCGGCCGGATAGGCCGGCGGGCCGGAAGCACAAAGGCCTCGGTTGGGCCGGATGTCTGGTAGCTGTATGCCCCGACTACACGACGCTGCCGCCGACTGACGTGCCGGGCGTCTGGTGTGTCGAGATTAAACCCAAACAAGGATGGGTGCACGAAGAAGACATGGCCACCGGTCCCGGTGGGATCCGGATGAAGTGCCCGTTCTGCGCGCACCAGTACTTGAAGTTGTGCCGGGGCGACGTCCAGCGGCCGAGCGGTTACTGTCCGCTGGACTTGTTTTCGGGCCGCCGCGAACGGGTTCGACGGGCCATCCGAGCACTGCTCCGGGATCCGCAGAACAATCTGAAAATATTCCTGGACGGCGACTCGCTCGTGGCGCGGGACGACGGCTTCGGAGGCGCGGCGAAGGAGGCGCTGGGCTCGGTTCAACGGTTTTGCGAGTTGGTCGAAGGCGCTCTGCTCGGCGACTACGAGGGCGACCGGGATGTTCCGGTGGACGGATGGGACGCTTCGGATGACGACTCCGAGGAGGAGGACCGTAGTACCGCTTCGGGGGCAGTGCCGCCGTCATGCGACTTCGACGCGGTCCCCATGCCGAAGCATTGCGTGCTGCACGAGATCCTGACGATGCAGCAGATGCAAACGACCGGTTTCGTGACCGTGTGTTCCGAGTACGATGGACGAACTCCGCAAGATCCGCAATTCGGTCACGTCGACCGTCTGCGGCCGAACGCCGGAGACGACACTGCCTGGAGCCCGGTGGACGGCTATCTGGTGGCCGCCACTGCCCGGGACTGTTCAGTGTTCGTTACGTTCCGTCCCGGCAGTTCGTTGACAGCGATACGCGTCAAGGTGTCCGATTTGGACCCGAAACCGTTGTCAACCGTTGACAAACACCGGAATCGCGATGCAAACGTTTTGTTGGCCTGCCAAAGATATTCGGTCGGATAGTGCATGGTATGTCGTGGCCCTAGTTTTGATGCGAGGGAAGAGCGGGAAGTGGGCTTTAAAAGTGCGATTAAGTATTACTATTTACTTCTTTTATAATTACTACTATATAAAATTTCAAAATATATTTTACTCGTGGATGTATATGTATTATTTGTATTTAACGAACAAATTAAATAAATGCAGATAGTCACGAAATAATGTTTCAGTTATAGGGATTCATCGTTTGGTATTATTTTTAATACATTTATAATAACTAAGTATTTAGTTCTCGTTGCCTCCTTAAAGCTCCTATTCCTAACACCACTTATTACGGTTGTAAAGTAATGGGCATTTAAGTTTGTCTGTGGTGTGCTCAGGGTTTTTGAAAGTGATGGAGGGGTTTATGAATTTTCAACTATTCTCGGGCCACGTTATAATATAATAGAATAATTATATTCATATTTCATTACTTTATCATATACCTATTTTACTTGACAAAAATAAGCCAAGTGACCAGCCCACGTGAGCACGCCTCTTAGACAAACCACAAAATTCGGTTTACATTTCAGCAATCTGTATTCTGTAGTCAAAATATAGTAGAGCGAATAGATAACTCCTACAGAAAAAGGTGGTTCAGGATCTCCTAAATAGAAATGCATACTGGTATATATAGTGGTAATAGTGTTATATGTGTACAATTTTTTTATTAAATAGAAGAGTTTGTAAAAAAATATCTCTATAAGTAACAGTGGTATTAATCAACCAATATATCCTATTTTTAATTCTAAGCGGAGCGATGAATATTTAGGTATTGATTTTACAATGTTTTTTTTTTTTGTGTGTGTGCAGGCGACAGTAATATTTTCAACTTTAAGGGTGGTTTTTGATAGAAAATTGCGACTTTATAGTTGGTACTTTTGTGAGGTCAAAATTATATATATTTATACTAGCTGATCCCGTGCACTTCATCGCCCTTTAAAAATGCCATCTCTATATAAGAGACTTGATGGTGATAATACGAGCAGTATATTATCAGATAGACAATCAACCTATGTTGGATTACAGACCCCGGTAGGTGCATACTATACTACTACCTATCTATATGATTATATGAATAATAAGTTTTATTTTTTATTTGGATTGAGGACACTTCGATGAGCGGCTATAGGTGCATCTCAGCCTCCTTGGTAGGCAATGTGCGAAGATTCGATTTCATGCATGCTTAAACCGTTCTGTCCAATAAACCATTGGCAACCAAAAATTAAGAAAATTAATTATTAATTAAGATAAACGTTGTACATAACGTATATATATTAATATATTATATACACATTGTACACGTGTATACACATAGTTTATGTCACGGCAGCCCACGGGTTTCCAGTAACCTGCAACCTGACCTTTCGTCCGTCAAATTATGTGTTTTACTTGATATTGTATATCTTTGACTTGTAGCATTGCGATTTCCTCGACTTAAGTTTTTATGTCTAATTGCTGGCATTTTTAAATACAAAAATATTCATCAAAACTTACCAGGAGTCCTAATATTATTGCAATGATTTGTTTTTATTATGTCAATTGCTTGTATTTAATCGTTTAAAAGCTATATTGATACTAATATTCGGTAGATAGTGTTGTACACTCGATGCATATTATTATTATTATTATTATTATTATTATTATTATTATTATACAATTTACACGTTAAATATTAAAAAAATATATTGTGTGAGCCACCCTTTACATCTAAGGGTATTACAAATAGTTAACATCACTCTCTGAGACCTACTTAATATACACACAAAATGTCATGAAAATCGGTCCAACCATTTCGAAGGAGTTCGGTAATAAACACTTTTGATAGGTATTATGACACGAATTTTGTATATAATAGGTATAATTTTATTATATTTTACTATAGCTACTTTGACACGAGAATGTACGTAAAGTTTTACTTTGAACAACACTTCGGACCAATACTTTTTAATTTTATCACATTTATTTAGGAATGACTGTTGAGTTTGACAGTAAAATTGTCCTTAATCGAGCCAATGCTGCTTCACATTGAAATCTGAAATAATGTCATCAAAATAGACAGACCAACCACGCATTGTAGATTAAAAAAATGTCCATCTTATTCATTATATAATATAAATACAACTTCGCAATCCATATTTTCTAACGAAACTTCCAATAGCCATAGCCGATAGCTATAACTGTACAGAGTACGTCTTAAGATGATATTAGATAAGTAAATTAGTTATAGTTCACTTATCGCAAAAGTTAACTGCGTAATTGTAATAAAACAAATACTAAATAAGTATTAATTAATTGTGACCAAAAAATTAAAAATTACCTAATTTATATGAGTACATGTTTATTAGAGATAATAATGGACAAATAATAATATGGATATTGGATTTACAAAAGACGACGAGAGTACAAAAACTAAGCTCATCGCCTAACAAATTAAAATAATTGCAATTTGAACAACAATACAAATTATACATTATAATAATGATATAAAAAAAAACAGTAAAAATGACAATAATTAGCAAAAAAATATATTTACTGATTTTACACCTGACAAACATAAAGATTAACATGACACAAATAAATAATAACACATAGATAATATCCATAGTATATTTGAATGTTCAAGCGCAATCTACTTTTCTCAACTAATTTTCTCAATTTTATTAAAAAAAGTATTAAACTGATGTCAGTCCCTGCTGCAATATATAAGTAAATAATAAATTGAATATATAGGTAATTATCATACAAAATCCAATGAACAAAATGTATTACAAAATAATAAATGATGTAATGACACATGTTACAATAAATTTTTACACCCATGCAACCAAAATTGAATCATTGTTTAGTTTACAACACACTGCTGTTTTTGTTTTAAACCATGATAAAATTTCTTATACTGTATGTAATCATGCAATTTTTTTTAATTATAAAAATTTGTATTTTATAAGTTCTTATCCTCAACAAAACTTACCAACTTTACAACAAATGTGTTTAAGTAAAACTTATTGTCATTCTTTAGTGATTTTCTGATATCTGAGTTGAGAAAATACCAGAAACATGCGCACCAGTAACTTTTTACAATTTCTCTGACTTGAATACCAGGTGCCAAAATAGAGACAAGTCTTTTTCATAAAAAAAAATCATTTATGTAATTGGCAAAAAAAAGTTGGTCCTAAATGCATAAAAAAAAACCCTGTAATTCATTAACAACACTGTTGCTCTGATGTTGAAATTTTAATGGTAGAATTTTCTTAAAACTATTCAGAAAATTGGAAGAAAGCAAGAAAATGTTTATAAAATTTGTTCAACAACTTAAGACATTGAGCGGCAGTTAACTGTTGTTGAAAATATAGTTGTAATGGTGTTGAAAAATTAAGAAGGAGCGATATTTATCATAAGTGAATAAAAAAATTCTAAAATTGTATAACTTGAAAAGTTAAGACAAAATGGTAGATATATAAGAAAGAGTAAATATTCTCCATGAACACTGTTTTATTTGATTTTAGAAGATGTCGATGAATGATAAAACAAGTTAAGAAAAGTACTAGTGCTAGAACATACAATAGGTATCAACTAATATATTCACATATATATCATATATTGTATTTTTGATGATAACATTGAAATATATTAGTTATAGAGTAATACTAGTTGTATGTAATCAAACCACTGTTAAAAGCTCAAAAAATGCAATAAAAATAAATTTCAACTGTCGATTATTACATTATTATTACATGGAAATAAATTAAATAAAGATAGATAAAAAAAAAAAGGTATAAAATAATGTAAATTAACAATAAATAATTACTAATAGTCACAATTAAAATTTTATTTTTTTCATATATATTATACTCAGTGAGAATTTTTTTTAGACAATTTTCAAGTGTTGTCTAATAAAATAGAATACAAAATAAAAATAAATAATTAGGATAAAAGGATGGATCACATGTTAAGTTAAATTGTTTATAAAATATGATAATATAGTAGTAATTAAATATATTGTCATACTTAGAAAATAACGGTATAATAATAATAATAATAATAATAATAATATATAATATATCATTAGCAAAGCTAGTAGGTTATTTAAAGTTAATAATATGTCCTTTAACTATCAGGTGAGTATAATTTAGTAAGTATAGTTTAATTTACACTAGTTGAACTATGATCAAAAATAGATTTATAAGGAAGTCAAGTTTTATTATAATGCTAGGGGTAAAACATTTGATGAAAATATTTTCCTTTGAACATAACGAGATATGGTGTTATATATAGACCCAAAAAATAAATATAATAAAAGATGGAGCATTCTAAGGAGTAGTGAGAACTAACACGACCAGGAAAATCAATTGGTTAAACTATACAAAAATATTGTTTTCTTTTATTTTAATAAAAATTAATTTATATTTATTCATATTTAAGAAGAAGAAATCATATCAACGAAAAATTATATTAATGATTTTTAATTTACTTTTTTTGAATAATAAATCAGACCCACTAGATTGTGTATCAGAAACGATTATTAAAAACTAAAAAAAATTCAAAAATAAAATTGATTATTACTTCTATTGTGATGGTAATTAACATACAATTAACGAATGCGGTTTTTTAAAAATTGTATTACCAACCAGTATCACCACTAAATGCAACTTTTTTAACTAATTAGGGTGAAAACGCAGCTCATAATATCAATTATATTTTATAGATTCGTATAAATAGTTTAAAATGGCATAATAAATAAAATACTAGCCTAGTGACTAAAACAATATTTGTAACATAATATATAGATGTGTATAAATTATATTTATGTAAACCTAGGTTTCTATACATTACAAGATATAGTTTGCACATTAACTGTGTAGGATATATATATTAGCAAATGTATTTACTATTCTAATATATATATTTACAATGCTCTTTAAGATCATTTTTTTTTTAAAATCAAACTTCTTCTAATTTCACAAATCGAGCATAATTAAATGTATTTTGCTTTAAGTTTTTGTGGTAACTTCTAAAACATTGTACAACCTAGTTTTAAATAAACAATAAATGAAACAGTACCTATTATTCAGTTAATGTCAAGAAACTTTTTTTTTTATTAAATTTCCAGATATTAAATTTTG